CGCTTCAACTTGAAAGGGAGGTTGGTTTGGCTGCCCTCGTCGATCAAGGTGATGCGCGGTACGAAGACTCGCTTGTTGTCAAATGCGCCGTCCATGATAGTTGCCTCGATGCACTTGGTTGACACTTTGGCAACCCGCAATCTTGTCCCATTGCATAGGCCCTGTGAGGGACAAATGTTGCGCAAAAGCGTGACTGGACATCCCACCTTGAACTCGAGCTTGTGCGGTGGCAAGTCGGATATGTTGACGGAATTCAGGAACTCGGAGGGAAATTCCATGGCCGTGTCGTCAACATCCTCGCCTTCTTGCTCGACTGAATCGGCTGAGAGGCAAGTAAACATGGCAGAACTGTTCATCTTGCGCAGCACTTTGGCGTTGTATTCATCGACCCCGACTTTCTTGGGTGCCAAAATCGCTCGTTCAGACATGTACTCCGGGGGGTTGGCCGGGTTATTGATGTCGCCATAGATTTGGTCGATGTACGCGTTCAGGTCTTGGTCGGTTTCCCAGTTCCTGGCAATTGCATCCGGCAGTCGGATCATGGGAGAGCCGTAGACGTCTTGTTCTGGATACGTTCCGTTTCCAACGTCAACCAACGTCTTGGCCCATTCCTCGATACTTGCGTCGTCTGATCCACCACACAGCCGCATGTTCTTTGTCAGCTTGACAATTTTCACGTCGTTCCAGATGCTGCTGCGTCTGAAGGAGGCCTCCACAGTGGCCGATGGTGTGCCGCGTGGAATGATTGGCAGGATTTTCTTGAAATCGCCCGAGAAAATAACAACCTCGCCGCCAAAGAGGGCTGTGGGGTTGTCCATGATGTCGCGAAGGGAACGGTCGACGGCCTCCAAGGCATGCTTGTGGATCATTGAGACCTCGTCCCATACAATGAGCTTGGTGTCTCGAACGATCTTTGCCAATGACGACTGCTTCGGAATGTGGCATAGGGACTTGTCGTTGAGGTTGGTGACGGGGATTTTGAATCGCGAATGTGCCGTTGTGCCGCCCATAAGCAGCAAAGCTGCCAGCCCAGATGATGCCACAGCAAGCGCGATGTCCCCTTTGTCGCGCACTTTTGCCAACAGGATTTGAGAGACGCACGACTTTCCTGAGCCTCCTTCGCCTTGGAGGAAGTACGCCTTGCCTGATGCGTGATCGTATATTTGGGCCAAAACGGTGGTCACAAAGGACCTGTGCTCGTCAGTCATGGTCGCAGCAGTGGCCAACACGTCGTCGAGGGCTGCGCACGTATACGACGTTTCAATGACATAAAGCCGACTTCTTGGATCGTCCAGTAGTTGCCGTTCGCCCAAGTCTAGGAATACTTCGAATTCGTGGAGTTGTGGTAACGTCGGGTAGTCCAAAAGGCTCAACCGATGGTGTTGGAAGCAGTTGTCGATGCTCTTGAGTGTGTAGAACATCGCCTTGCCAAGCATCATGTCTTCACTGAGCGGCTCTTGGAGTGTTTCGTTGCAGCGGCGCAGGTCCCGAAGCCGCTTGTCCATGAAATCTGCTTTGAATTGGTCAAACAGAGCTCGGGTGTTCGCTGTCTGGCAATGCACCAAAGATGTTGGCAAACAGTTCGTGCAGCTGTCCGTCCATGCAGTCCAACGTGGCTTGTCGAATACATACCACATACTCTTCGTCGTTTTCCAACAGGCCCATGGACAGTGCAGCTTC